TTCAACTTCCTAAAATGCATGTGGCGTCGAATAGAAAGGGTTGAAACTGGAACAAAAGATTTGACCTTATGGAAACACACGGATCCCCCAAAATACACGTATTTCTAGGAATCTGTGCAAGGGGAACTTTGATGCCTTTTGGTTTTTGTTCTGCATTTGAATGGGAAAGAACTGAAATTGGAAAATGTCTCAGGAACTAGAAAATCATATTCCACCTGGCTCTCCTCCCACAGGATGATCTTGGCTTGCTACAAGCACAGCTGTAGCGATGCAGTAGCACAAGTTCATGTCAGGCGGTAGTTGGTGAAGCACAAGGGGGGGAAAAGCAGTACTTTCTGCTATCGCCCACTATAGCTAACAAGGCTTGGTTACCAGAAATCAGCTTTGACAGGACAACAGCATTCCTGCATCATGTACTGCATTCAGAAAGGAACCTGTGGTATCCATCCCTCTTTATCGGCTCTTGCAAGGAAAGTTCTCCAGGTATGAGAACTTTGCTGATTAAGGCTGCCAGAGGGACCAGGGGAATTTCGGCTCTCGCTTGCAGCTGCATTTTTAAATCTTAGCTGTGTTCTTGCTATAGAGGCAAAGTTCAAAGAAGCAGAACATTATTCAATACCAGTAAAACATGGCCTTTTAAGATACACTTTCAAATAGTGGTACATTAAATCAAGACAACTAAGGGAGGGGAAAAAAGCTGGACCCATCAGTAAAAGAGAGTCATACATCACTATTCATGTTCTGCATTTGTTTGGAAGGGCCCGCATTTTAAAAACGAAATGGTCCACTGGCGCCACCTTAGACTAAATAAACCTGACAGCGCTAGGAAGAATGCATTCCTGAGAGCACATAAAAAGGGAAAAGAGATATAATTCAATCTATTGTATGCTTCGACGCTGCGCAAGAGCCACATTATGACACCTAGAGTCACTGCAAGCGGTACCTTATTCCATAAGGATGAATTTCATTGATTTCAATCAGACTAAATTACGGCACGAGGAACTATTCACCTGAAGGAGATCAGACTCTCACTTCACAACAACAGCCCTTAATTAAAAATACATGAAGCTGAGGTCTGCATTCCTGTCGAGGTTTGATTCCCAGGGTGACTTACACAGCTCAGAGACGTGTTTGTTGGGACCCCCGATCGGCCTCTTGGGTTCATTAAGGCCCTCTCACCCAGGAGGAGATCGGACCACCTTGAACAATCCTCCGCACCTTTCTGCACCGATTCTCCTGGCTCCCGCCACGTGAAACGCACAGCCAAGATGGTTGCGGGAGACTATTTTTTCTCTCTGCAGGAGGTGCATCTGTTTTCAGTCTGGGATGCTCGAGATGTCCGGGCAGAGCAAACTAGCCGTATCACACGCAGCATAGCATCGCCCATGTTCATCCACTTGTCTGCATTCCCGTGACCTTGAACCACGGTGGCGTCTTTTGACACACAATTCTGCGGCCTGTATTTTGACGGGACCTCTCTCTACTCATTGCACAGGCCAAGCAGGCTTTGCAGGTAGGGCTCTGCCCGCCGTAGGGAATGCTCTTTCTTGCTGAACTCAGGGGGGCAGGAAGGAAGCCCAGTGCTCACTCCTTACCAGATGGAGCTGGTTTGTGCCCGAGAAGAGAGCATGCTGCATTTAAGCAATTCTTGCTGCTCCTTCTCCTCGAGGCAAAACTGCTCTTGGAGCAACCCCCAGGTTACTGCTTCTCTCTGCTCCTTTCTCAGCAATGTGCTGTAATGGCACAGGAGAGCACTTTGTTGTTCACTTCAAAGGTGATCTGCTCTATTGATCCTGTTAATCAGTCTTACCGGGGCTTTCCCCTATATGCCAAGGTCATCGTGCACTGCTCAGCGGCGTATATTTGATGATCTTACTCTGGGAGATTTACATGGGCTAGATCTTGAGCTCCTGACTGTTTTTATCTGGGAAAAACTCCTACTGACTTCAAAGGAACTTTGGCTGATTATAGTGGTTGCCATTAAAGTCAGCATTTACTGCATATCGTCGAGTGACTTTCTAATCCGTGCAGATGAAAATGTCGGTGGCATTCCACATCCTGCAGTAACTAAGTAAATACTGGCTTTTCAATAATGACCCCGTATGTGGGCATAAGGATGGTACAAGAAACAGCAATTGTGTAGGAGTCAGGGAAGAATTTTCCAAGTCCTGAGGCAAAGCTCAATGGTGCTGAAAAGGGCCTTTTCTAGGAAATGAGTGCTGATCTATTCCATCTCATAAGACTTACTTAACCTACTTGAAGCAAAACTGTCTAATATATGTAGTGTGCTGGTGAATCAATACTGAACACATTTTGCCATGCCTTTCTTGTAAGAATACACACCATACCTTTCATTTGTTGATCATCGTGCTGAAAAATTATGAATCCTGCCTGCAGTTTTTTTGCCTCGTTCTACAAAGCCTTAGCGCAGTACCTCTGATGACCGTAATTTCCTGATTTAACTTGAATTAAGGAGGATGCTTCCATATCTCTGGGAGCTTCGTCTTTAGCTAAATAAGCTGTGTACTTCATTTTGGCTACATTTGCCTCCCTACAAAACAGCGGCATATTAATTTACAGAACGTGACAAGCGCTCTGGAAATACAAACTAACTGTATAACCTCTCTATTTTTTTCTCAAAGACACAAGATTATAATTATTGCCAGGCACATGGAATAAGGGCCTCAGATATCCATGTTCCCAGGGGAGTCTACAAAGGCAAGGAATAGAAATTCAATACTAATATAAACCTTTAAAAGAATACCGATTAAACAAGAAAGGGGGAAAAACAAATACATCAAAGGCAAATGTAATTGCTTTTGAATAAAACAGATTGCTTTCTACCTATCTGCCTTAAAGGCAGGCGCTGTAGCCTGGGATGCAGAATACCAAAAACGACTGGTATAAGCAGAGGCACAAGTATTTTGTAGTCAAAGGTATCCTATTCTCATTTAATAGCTTAAAGGCTTATCTGGATTTCAGACAAGAAGGGGTTGCAATTTACTGCTTCTATCATCCTAATGAGCAGGGCTAGTTTAACATTTGGGAACACTTTCAATATTGATTTGTTTTAGAATAAGATGTAGGAAATTTGATTTGTTATGGAAATGCCGTGCATCAATCTGCACCCCAGACCTTGATAACTTGCCTGTGGAAGTCTCAGCATGGCCTTAATATAACAGGGGGGTGGAAAACACTGTCTCTGAAAGAAAGGGTCATTAGAAGGATCAATTCAATGTTTTCACATGCCAGCTCCAACGAGCCAACTCCGGCTCAGGGCTTTGAAGCCTGGCACATCTCTACCCAAAACACACCAGGAGAGAAACTGTGTTGTGTGTTTTCCTCCAGAAATAATGTCATACTTTGTCCCCACGACATGTCACTGCTACAGCCCATTCCTCACAATTCTGAAAGACAATCAATCAGGATTGCAATTCACCTTGTTAAAAATAGTGGCCTCTGGAGATTTTTCTATGACAACTACCTCAGGCAGCAGAGAAGTCATGATAAATGTTTGCTGACACCAACCCAAATGTCATGTGATGTTTAACCCCTCTACCTGGTAAACAACTGAAGATAAATTTATCCTAGCCACAAAAAAAAAAAAAAAA